GCACATTACCCCACTTCACTCTTATACTCCTAACAGATCAGTTTACAGAGGTTCCGTAGGCTTCTTGGCTAAGAGTGGAGGAACTAAGACAAAAATCCAGCTTTTTTTTTTTTTTTTTTTTTTTTTTTTTTTTAATGTTATTGGTTACTGAACTCAGGGCCTGGGCTGGGGAGATGGCTCAGTAGAATAAGAGCTTGCCTGGCAAGTGCAAGGGCCGGAGTTCAATCCCTGGTTCTGCAAAAAAAAAAAAAAAAAAAGTCACTCTGAACTCAGGACCCTACTAATGCTAGACAAGATGCCATTTCTGAGCTATATCCCCATCCCTTTTTTTTGAGAGAGGGTTTCACTAAGTTGCCCAGGTTGCCCCTGAACTTGTGATCATTCTGCTTCAGCCTCCTCAATAGCTGGGATTACAGGCATGCTCTAGTACACTCAGCTTAAAGACTACATTGTTAAATACCATACAACACTAGCATACCAGCTGGACGGTAAATAATGGTGTTTGGATTTTAACCTGGAAGCAGAAAAGTAACCAATCACATGTGTAAGACGGAAAGCGCAGAAACTAGATTGGAGAGAGGCAAGACCCAGCTCGGGGACCAGAGCCAACAGGCCAAGCAAGATGGTAAGCAGTGAACTGCAACAGGAGGAGCCGAAAGACATTTACGCCCATGTCACAGTCACCAAAATCTCAACTGCAAAGACTGCCTAAAATAAAGAAACATGGTAACAGCAGAGCTGGAGCTGGAAGGGAAGTCTTCAAGTTAAAGTAGTTTTTATTTGCCTTTGAAACAGATTTCCCACCTCTGCATAATTACAGAAAACTGAAGATTCCTTACTGCTTGACAAGAGTAAGTCTTAACACCGTTAGCTGGTATTTGAAGTTTTTTAAAGGAATTCAAGCTATTCATGAAATAAGCCTAGAAAAATGTTTCTCAAACCTGAAATAATCAAGAACACTTTGAAAGAACAAATTATTGTGGAATAAATACAAAACATCATTCTCTTTGGCAACATCTCCAGGAAATTAAAGGAGCAAAGGCACAAGGTCAAACCAGCAACTCCATAATGGCTTTGGGTGGCCCACTTCACATCAGTAACTTGAGGCTCTGAGCAGCTCCCAGGGTTACTAGAATGAAGTGCGAACATATACATAAAGTGCCTGGTAGCAGTAGGTACTCCGCTATTTTCAACATTGTCACAAAGATGGAATTATGGATGAAAGTGCAATTCTGCCAAAGGCCAGCAGCCAGAAACCTCAGGGAAGGCTGACATCTAAACTGCAGCCAGCTAGGTAAGTAGGAATTCACCAGGAGAATGAACACAGGAGGAAAGGGCAAATGGGTGGGAACAGAATACAGAAGTAGTTGATGCTACAGTTCAGACCATGCCCAGTTCGTTATCATTTTTCTATAAGAGACTGACCCCAGCAGTGAAGTATAACAAAACCTGACAATCTGCCACATACAAAGCAAAGGGAATGAAGATTAACTATTGATTTTTGATATTGTGGTAGCAGGGATGGAACTCAGGACCTTGTGCTTGCTGGGTAGGCGCTTATTGCGCTATCTCCTTTTTTTTTATTTATTTGGTACAGGGTTTCACTAGTAGCTTGGACTCATAGTAATCCTCCTGTCTCAGCCTCCCCAGTGCTGGCAGTACAGGCATGTGCCACTATGTCCAGTTTTAGGCCAGTATGGCATGTACTGGGAATCGGACCCAGGTCCTTGGACTTGCCAGGCAGGCACTTTGGCCACCAAGCTATCTCCCCAGCCCTGATTAACTGATTGAAGTTCCCAAGTACTGTATCGGGCATTCATGAAATAAAGATTGCTTTACCTTGTAAGCAATTGAGAGTCTCTAAGATTTTTTAAAAGAAAGTGATATATGATGTATTTTCTACACAGAGCACTCCTATAGTTAAGCTGCTGTTTCATCCTTACATTCTTCAATTTCAGAGAATGAATCATTTCCTGCGGCCCAAAGTGATCTGTCTTCTCCTCCCAGAACTATATGTACTTCAGGTCAAGAACTCCTCTCCAACAAGAAAAGAGCAGCAGGACCAGTGAAGAAGTTCAGAAAATATTCCAGGAGATGCTAATCTAGTAAGGACCACATGGAATAAGAAAGAGCAATGAGAACATTCAGGCTTCTAGCTCTGACAGTTCAACAGACGGCAGTATCGCAAGTAAGATCAGTGACACAGGAGCAAGAGAAGGAAACCACTAATAAGCACGTACTTTTACATCTCAGGTATGCTACTGCGAAGTCTGGCACAAGCCTGATACTATTTCCCCAGTGAATTCTACAATAAGCACAAGGACGTATTCGACTAACAGTGTTTCACTAACGTTCTGGTCATGCTCTTCTACTCCTTTCTAATCTTCACTTAGCTAATTAACCAAAAGCAAATCCGCCTGTGCCGGGAGCTCTACTGACAGCAACAGCGCTGCTCAAAATGCTCCCTTTTGGATCTGCTTGGTGCACTTGTACTTCTTGTGTCCTAGCTGTGTTCATAAGGACCCCTATGACCCTTCCTCTACCACTTGGTCACAGTGACACCCAGCAGGAGTGGTTTTACCTTCGACAGTTCTCCCAGGTCCGGCCGCACCCAGCCCAGTTTGTCCAGTACACATTCATCAAACTTTGCCTGCTGTTTGCGACAGTTACGAAGCAACTGCTGGCCAGTAAAATCAACACAGGTCCAGTACTCTGTAAAAGGTTCCGCACAGTGACGCTTTATCTGCCTGCAAAGGAGGGGGATGTTAGGAAGCTCTTTACAAAACAACAAAAAAACAGTGAAGTGCAGAGGAAGCAGGACAAACCCCAAGTACAGGATCTTGTTTTTTTGAAAAGTATGAACATAAATACTTTTACTTCTCTTACAAGACAACTTCAAGACAATGAAGTTAATAACCAGTATGTATAAGGACACACACACACACACACACGTACACACACACACACACACACACACTTCTCAGAAATAAAACTCTTTTATACAACAAAAAGAACTGGCACAAATATTCAAATATTTTATTCAAGAGTCAAAATTGCCACTTGGGACCTACGTATTTTCTTAAAATCTAACTTTATGGAGTTTAGAAGAGAAGGAAGCACATCCAGAGACATGCATGCTGACAGAAGTCTGAGGTGACAGGCAATGTAAATGAGATAGAATTTCCAAGGGCTGGTGAGATAGCTCAGCAGACTAACCACCTGCTTAGGCAAGCACAGGGCCTGGGGCTTGATCCTGGCACCACATGCTGCCCCCACCCTGCCCCAGGTGCACTGAGCAAGCCACTGGGACAGGCGT